CTGCTGGAAGATCACATTCTTAAATCTTTAATCACCTGTGGTGCAGCAGGCAGAGAAATAATTGTTTATTTTGTAACAGGACCCACCATCGTAAAATGGGTATGATACATCACTCACAGTACACTCTTATAGGGACTGAAACTGAATACAGATACTGAAATCTTACCAGAAGACGCCTGTTTACAGCACAGCTTTTATATTAATACCACCATAATATTAAACTGACCTAAAAGGCTTGCTAATGATTATTCAGGCTGTTGCTCTTTAGTAGATAAAGACAGAAACAACCTGAAGAGCCCTGAAATTAGGTCAGTGAAGTGTGAGGTGAGCGCCATTAGTGTCCTACGAGCTAAAATTAAAAACAAATATCTACTAAACACAGAGATTTCTGGATATACAGGCAACACATGCACGTCAACAACCATTGTGCTCCAACAACCGGAAAGAAAATGTTCAGCAGTCCTGTAAAAACCTTTTTAAAAACCAGGTATTTTTGAAACTTTGCATTTTCCATGATTATCCTTCTAACAACACAAGAAAGTTACATATTTATTTTTTGTCAGTTTTATTACAAATAAAGAAAACACCATTCTCTAACATGCATTTGGTCATTTGTCAAGTGTAGCTGAGATAAGCCCTTGGGGTAAATGTGAAAACCGAGATGTATAGACCTAAATAAACACATCAAGATCGGGGTAAATGTGAAAACCGAGATGTACGTATAGACCTAAATAAACACATCAAGATGAAAACCAGTCAAACCTTAAAAATACCATATAAGGCCACTATTATGAGCTCATGTCCTCATGCAAACAGAAAACTATGTGGAAACAGATCATTTTCATTAACACACAAAGGCAAACAAACAGCACAACAGTCTTAAGACTTCAGTGCGCCTTTGGTGACATCACATTCATTATTTACAACCACTACAGTCATTAAGCGGCCATGAAAATTTAATCTGACTGTGGACGGTTTGTGGGGGAGACGCTGCCAAAGCTACAGGTGGCAAGGCTTGGAACAGAATTGGAGATAGAGATGATTTCACTATAATCCACTGGTTCAGGTTCCACTGACAGTACCATCAAGTTGCTCAAATGAGAGACGGTTGCATTTTAGTCCAGTTTGCTATAGAAAACGACGCTGTGGTGGTTTGGTGTAACGTTAATCTAGTCAAATCTTTGACTGCTTCTCAGACTTGTTCCTCCTCCATAAAATTTCTTGCAAACGAGATTTGCTTTGACGTATTATTTGTGTAACTTTGTACCTGCCACGTTTATTATCTCACCACAAAACAATTTTCCAAAACCTCTATTTCATGAGGCCTAAACAGCTAGCAAACAATCTTCTCAAAACTGTCTAAGGTTAACTCCGCCTACGATGAAATTAAAATTAAAATTAAAATTAAAATTAAAACTAATCTTAATCTTAATCTTAATTTTAATCTTCTTCCTCCTCTTCTTCCTCTTCTTCTTCTTATTCTTGTCAATCAGAATCTGTATCAGTGTAAACTTGGTGTGTTGGACACAGGAGGAGTTAGTGATTCCGGTACAGTGGCTCTCAGTGTGCACGGACAATGTTCTTCATAAGGCAAGAAGGAGGAATGTGCGTTTAGGAAAGAACATCTAAGTACATATGTGCATATACCAGATATATATATGTATGTATATATACAATGGTATATTTACAAGGTCTTGCACTGAGGCCTGTTTATCTGTTATATCAGGATGATGTACTTGGGGAAGAAACTGTCCTTGTGTCTGGTTGTTTTGGTGTATGGTGACCTGTAGCATCGTCCAGAGAGGAGGAGTTTAAACAGTTGGTGTCTAGGGTATGAGGGGTCTGCAAAAATCTTCTCTGCCCTCCTCTTGACCTGTGAGGTCTCCGATGGAGGGCAGGCTGGCTCTGATGAGTTTATCTGCTGGAGTATGTTCCTGTCATTTGGTTGATGTACCAAACCGAACAGTGAAGGAAGTGCAGAGAATAGACTCCACGTTTCCCCTGTAAAACTGTATCAGCAGCTCTTCTAGAAGGTTGAACTTTCTGGGCTGGCGAAAAAGTACATTCTCTGCTTCTTCATGGTTTTTATTGCTGGTTGGCATCCAATGTATTAGGAAGATTACAAAGATGTTCCAGACTTTAACTGGCTATAATAGTAATGACACCAGAGAAAAATGCTCTTATTCAGGTGGGCAGGCTTGTGGCCACCCTGACTCGACCTGTACCTTTCTGAACTTGGCTACATGCCGGCTGGAGACATGGAAACATACTGCACCGCCACTATTTGTTTTTATGGAAGAGTCATTTGTGCCAGCATCACATTTCTGTGGTGAAATTACACTCAGCCTTTGACTCTGCAATGATTATATAACCTTTTATATAGAGAAAATGTTTTACTTTACATAAAAACAGCCCAGGGGGTATATCCATTACTGCTGGAACAAAAAGGTGAAATAAATGTCTTAACAGCTGTTTTGTTTATGGACTAGTCAAATGGATTAGCAAAACACAGATTAGCCTAAGCCCAGGTGAGAGGTGGGGAAATGATATGAGATGTTATCTTGTAAATGCTGTATTGTACTGTGGTACAATTCCTGTGCCTTCTTGCCAAAGCATCTTCCCACATCTTTCTATAAGATGTAGGTTCCAAACCACTGGAGCAGTTCCAGTCTAATCCCTGTTATTTAGAGAGCGAGAGAGAGATAATGTTGTTAACAGGTATGGCAAAATGTGAAAGTGTGCCATATCTGTTGTTTGTTGCTTCAAAAGGGGAAATCTTTAATGACTCACAAAAGGCACAGCAGATGTTATTGCTGCTAAATGGGGTAAGGCTGGAGGTATAATATGTTCAAAGTATGAACCTATGACAGGTACTATAACTGCTATCCAGTGTGTATTCCCCCTTTAATGTCCCACCAAGCTTGGCTGAGGTGCCAGGATGCAGTGTTGTCCCTCAGCTGTAGGCTGATGCAGTATTTGGGCTGAATCTAGTAACAGGTTGAGAAGTTGACCTTTAACGCATCTTGAAACTAAAGGCTTTGCATACAAATAATGATCCAATTTTCAATCATCTGACCAGTCAGCACACCACTGCTGGATGCAGACACCCTTAGCTGAATAGAGCACCATTGTTTTTCTCCAGTGATTTTAAATTTCTGCAAATAATTCACTTTAAACCTTGTTTTCGGCCAAGCTCAAGATCAATGTTTTTATCCTCACTTGTCTGATGGTGTGACTAAGGTGAATATGAAAGGGACACATGCCAATTTGGGCTTATTTAATTAGTCATTAAAACTGTATGCTTTTCAAGGCAGTGCAGTTTAATCAGGTATGCAAATACTTGGCCTATTTTGAAAACACAATTATTCAGAGGGGAGAGGAGACAGCAACGTTGCATCATTTGCACAAGAAATGATGCAACATTGCCACCTACTGAGAATGGGGTGCATGTACTCTCATCAGTTGATGGTCACAGGCAATGAATTCTGTGTCCCCTTGAAGAATTGTGTTATGTTCCGCTTTTCATTTAATAAAGGTCCAGGCATTTGTGGAGCAACAATTGTCCCTTTGAAACAATGGCAGCCTTAAGAAAAGAAAACTAGACATTCATCATTGCAAAGCAATTTATGTTAGTCCTCATTTCCAAAACAGTGATTAATTAAAATGCAATCTTTAGGAGTACCCTGGTAGCTGAATGGTTAAGATGCACGCAACATGTCCATGGGCAGATTGTTTTTGTTTTAGTGACTGAATTTCAAGCAACATCCACATGTTAAGAGGACTTTTTATGAAAACTGCTGAGCACTAAAGGCAGGTGAAGCTACTAAGTGTAGCAGGAGCACGTTGGAAAACAGACTCTAAAGTGGACTTATATGCAGCCAAATGCTGTGAGTTGTGTGTCTATGAAAGACTTTAAGTACACATTGTTATTTCATCTGCATTGGACATTTATTTAGCCAATTGTGACATTAATCATTCATGTATACTGTTTTTCTTAAATAAGTTTCAAACTAATGATGATATCATTGTGATTCCAAATGCTAGGGACTGGTTTAATGCTCAAGGAATCATATTATGAGGGTCAAACTATCATAGGAATATTACTACTAGGTGTTATGGCATTATAGGGAAACTGAGCTGCCTTGGTGGAGGTTTGCACCGATTGCTGTCTGGTTTAGATTTGAAAATACAATATTAGATTTTTATGGTGGCCCATAACACCTGGCTCAATAGTGATAATTTGAAATTCAGCTGTGATTTGTATGAAACTGGGAGAAAAGTTTGGGATATGGATTGGGGCTATAAACCCCAAAAATTTTACACGAGGATGCAGATCATTTTTGCCATTAAACCGAATGTGTAAATTAAAATTTAAACTGTAGTGCTACAGGACAGGGTGGGGTGTAATGATTTCCTTGTGATAAGATATAAAATATTGTGATTTCCTGAGTGTTTACAACATCTGAAACTGAGTCCAAGTCACGGTGCAGAGGCCTTGAAATTCATTTCTGGCTGTGAGTGAATAAACTTGTGTCATTTCTGCACACACCACAGCTAAATGAGCAATTTGGAAATTTGAGTTGTTTCATGAAACTAGGGAGAAATATGTGATGGAGAGATGATTTGGTGGATGAATTTTGAATATGAAATTCAAAGCCCCATTAGCAAGTAGAGTAAATCATGTTTCACCCTGCAAACCTCAACTCTTCCATCCACCCATTGCCTCATTTACTTTATAGTACATAATTTTTCATCCCAGAGAAACCAAAAATTCAAATTCTCCAATTTCTAGTTTTAATTCAAATTGATGCATGTTCTTAAGCGTTCATGAGTGTTCACAAGTAGGGTCCTGGGTAGCAGAAAATGTACGGACAGAGCTATTCCAGGGAACACAGACCCCTTAAAATGCATCTAAGGCTACTGAATTCCTATATAGATCTTGAGTTTGCTAAATCAATCAAAAAACTGTAGAGAATTTACAGCACCAGCACATCCTGTTATGTTTGAAATCTTTATTTTCCAAGACCAGAAATGACATAACCATTTTTATTTATTAAGTCTTAAAATGAACATATCTTACATTCAAAAATGGTAAAAACACATTGCTTTTAACCAGAAAGGCACCAAAGACAAATGCACAGTCAATGCTTCTTGTTGGCTCCATGACAACATAAAAAAGCACGTGAATCAACTCGAAAAGGTGTCAATCCAGACAAAACATTATTAGCAACATAGTTACAGACTTCTAGTTTTCTCAGTTTTTATGTGAATGGTTAAAAGGCTAATAAGACAATAGTGGTGTTGTGATAGCTAAAATATATTTTATTTATTACATAAATACAATAGTCTAAATGTCTACAAACTGTCCACTATCTTTGCAAGGGGAAAAAGAACAATGTGAGAACGTTCCTAATACAAAGCACAACTTCTGTCACTAGAAAATATTTATAGAACATACACATTTGTAATAAATTATTTTAGTACAATTTTCAGGTTGTAACTGTTAGAAAACAACAGCTACTGTATATCCCCCTATAGATTGAAAATAAACTTAAACAATGACATGGCAATGATTGTCTGAAAATGAAAGCATTTTTACTGTTATGTGCATGTGATTTACCATGACAGGGGAGTTGCTCATACCTTTGGTCTCACAAACTGTAGAAAACCAAAAGTGAAGCATCCTGCCGCCGACATCACTCATGCTCTGGGTACACTTAAAACCTAAAGTCCAACCATAAGCAAAGTGACAGTGCCATATATCTTTGCAAGTGTTATTAAAGCTAGAAAGTAGTACGCTAGAGACAAATAAGACCTGCAACAGGTCATATATCCTAGGTCCAGCGGTAGAGTGTATTGCCATAGATCAGAGCAGGTCAGTTTATAACTGAAAAAGGTAAACAGGTGAAGTAAATTCCTCCTAAGTATTACTGGTAATAACACACAGTGTAAAGATCACAGCAGCACTCATCTCCCTCCTTCTTCTCTTCTTCTTCCTCTCACATTCAGATGCTAATGCCTCACTAGGCTGTTGGAACAAGGCAAACACTTGTACCATGTTGGTGCCAAAGACCCACACAACATTTAATAACTAAAAACCAAAAATTGATTGTGACTTTTTATCAAAAAGTAAAATAGCCTTGTGGTTTAGGAGGCTAGGTAACCGTGATTTACAATAATGTAATGTGAGCCATGACAAACATACCGTTAGCACCATTCCTCTGCCCATATGGGGCACCTCTCTAAGGAATCATAGCACCTTATTTGGATCCCCTTCTGGATATGCCAGTGGTCTCCCCCAGAGTGCTGTGACGTCTTTATGATTGGTCCCATGGAAGCGACAGCATACAATGTTGTAAAGTATATTTTTCCCCTGTTTCTTGTATGTCTGTCATTTGTTGAGTGCGATTGTGACATAAGATGTAGGTACGTAGCCTTCATCTCCGTTGTTCCTACGGACACGGGTCCACCCATCCCCCTTGTCCTCCTCCACCACAGCCAGCACCTCCCCCTCCTGCATAGAGATGGTCCCTTCACTAGCACCTGAAAAGGGAAAGGATAAACTCCATGGTAGCAAATATCCCTGTGCTAATTTATACATACAAGACTACACAAGCCTGGCTGAGTCAGACTACTAGACAAAAAAAAAAAAACACTTTCACTTCATGATTTTCTATCCATAAATGGCTGAGATTTGTCTTCTTGTGTAGATTAGAGCAATCTTGTGATGTACATAAACAAATGATAAAAACTTAAACACCTCATGTATTTGTTTCTGCCAAATAGCACCCCTTAAACTGCAAATATGGCTCACACAAATGGTGAGCACTTAAAAAAAAAACCACTCCCGTACATTGGGAACCCACATTCTTCAGCTAGTTAACCTTAATACAACAACAGTAGTAAACAATACTTTACAAGTCAAATTCATAGGAAGGGTACTGATTTACAGGGGGCAGTTGACGTTTAGAGAAAACTGCTCTCCTTCCATGAAAATATTTGGTCAAGGACAAATTTTCAGTCGCAGTGGCCCTCAACAAAAACATGGACTCATGGGGAGTAAGGTGGTTGGCTGAATCTGCATTTGACATACCAGGAAAGTTGTACATGGCTGTACATTTCCCAATAGGAGCAGTTAGTTCCTCGTCCTCAAAATCATCATCAAACTCAGCGTAGATGGCTTGAGAGGGATCAGGAGTACTTTCATCTGAGTGAGCTCCATCAGGGCTGGAGAAAAAAAGAAAATCAACAACAACAAAATATGGTTTCCTGTGCAGTGCAGACAACACTTCACTGTGTCAAACATAATGTCCATTAGTAGAACTGAATGCTACCTGTGTATATCATGGGCTCCATTATTGTTGTATGTGTGAACTTTATGGCGCACTGTGTCCCCTCGACCTCCTGCTTCAGCCAGCCAAGTCTACATGAGCGAAGAGAGTGAAAAGGAGACAGAACGGTGAATATCATGAATAACATGTTTACTGACAGACATTCCAAGTCATGTTAATTTGTACAGCACAGTGTGAATCTGTTCCATAGTTCTACTGTCAGGAAGAGTTAGAGATAATGTTTTAGACAAAATCAACAGCCTCCCCACTCTAGGTGTGACATCACCACTATAGCCGCTCAGTATTTCTCTTCATAGAGACCAATGTACACAGTGGGCAGTCTGGGAGAAGCTCTGACCCAGTCATCTACCACCACAGTTTGGCGCTTGTCAAAGTTACTCAGATCCTTATGGTGCTTCTGCTTTTTCTCCCAATTCAAGGACTGACTGTTCACTTGCTGCCTAATATACCTGACACTGACAGGTTCCGTTGTAACAAGACAATCAGTGTTATTCACTTCACCTATCAGTGGTCATAATGTTATGGCTGATCGGTGTACGTTATGGTGAACAGCATGGAATCTGGTTTTCTCATAATATATTAAATGGACAAGTGACACCTAATTACTTTATAACAGGTTAGAATAAACTACTGAGAGCCTTATAACCTCATAATACATTAGAATGAACAAATGGGGGCCATAAAATTGTAAATGATAACCTCATAATATTAATAAACAATGGAGGTCATGATTACCTCATACTTGCTGAGCTCTCCTCTGAGCCGTTCTATATTCTGGGATGTCTGGCTCATTTGGGATGCCAGACTAGCAGGGTCTCCCATTTGAGGATTTTTCTCATAAACATCTTTCATCTTCCCCAGGGCCTCACTAGAAGAGAGGAGATAGTGAGTGAGAGAGGTAGAAGGGAGGAAGAGGGAAAAGAAATCTGTTCTCTGCAGAGTTCAGGGCTGAGTAAACAATTCAAAGACCCACACAGACACCACAGGGTTATACACACGATGTGTGCACTGCATGATTATTATATCCACCTCCTGCCAGAGAGGTTCTAACAAAGATGGTTATTAATACACAGAAGGATACCCACACATACAAACAAACACACCTCTGATCTACTTCCTTTTGTAGCTCCTTGCTAATTTCTTCTAATTTCTGCTGTAACCTCTTCCTGCGTTGCTCTGGAGGAAGATGGGCGAAGTCTTCTGTTACTGTAGGCTGTAAGAGGTCACAGGAAGGGCGCGTTAACACTGAATGTAGGCAGCAGTTTCACAATGACAGTGACTGTGGTAAGAGAAACAAACATCCCAGAAACCAAACCAGTGCGCTAAGTTCATAGGTTCATGTTTAACTGGCAAAACATTAGGTCAAATCTTTTACATGTCTTAGGTTTAAAATTAATGTAAAGTCAGTGGTGTACAACAGAGAGCTGAACCCAAAACCCATGGACCAACAAATCCAATGGAGCACCCACTAATAACACCGCACTGTTATTTTCTTAATTTCATATCAAGAAATAATGTCACTGATAGAAAAGGTGATACAAGAAAGTGCAGAAACAATTAAAACTATCTTAAAATTGGGTTATGAATTGCTCAGATTTATCTTGTGCTTGCAGGAATTCCTCCCGTGCTCCACCACCAGGTGGCCACCTCTTCAATACAAACTTTAGTACAAAGACGAGCCTTTTGGATGCTGCGTGTTCACTCGTCCAAACAGTGGAATGAAAATTATTATAATGAAATAAGCTGTTGCAAAGGAGAGGTGGCCATTTTTATGTCACAAAACTGAAAACCCCACACCAGCGTTACTGTCCATATTACCACGATTCTCTCTGGAGTAAACCTCTGAGGAAACAAGAAAAAGAAATGGTATGTCTATAGAAAGATGTCATTATGTCCTTTCTACCTCAAAAACATGTTCACTGCATATTTGTAACACATACAAATATTAAAAAGTGTGGAAGAGCCATTATTACCAGTAAGAACTATGCCACATGTTTAAATCTTGAAATGATTAATAGTCTTTTTAGTCTAAGCAAATGAGTCACTCTCACAGAGGCAAGGGAATAGGATGGTGTCTGAGCCCTGATGAGTGGAGGGCTCTTGGCACCCAAAGCTCCTCCTCCGGTGACTCACCGATCTCTTGAGTGTCCGGAAGGAAGAGATTCTTGGTTTGACTGTCTTATTGATCTCCTTCAAACAATACGACAGGGGGTCCCGGCCAAACTTGGGGGAAGGGGGTCCATTAGTGGGCGAAGGGGCAGGGGGATTGGAGAATGGTGGGAGTGTGGAAGAAGAGAGCTGGGGTGGCGCGAGACCAAAGTACCAGCACCCAAGCATGAGATATACAGGCATAGGGAGGTGAATAGAGTGGGGAGGGGGGTAGAAGGAGAAGACAAAAACAAACATGGTGACAAGGAAAAGAAAAAGACACCATCAACACCTTAAAGCACACCACAAAGCCAGGAAGACAACACTGGAGCAGGACCTGAGCCCAGAGAGCATGAGAGCACAAACATGTCTGTCTTTGGCTCTTATCAACAAAAAACTAAACAGAAAAACAAAGCAAGCACTACCCACAGCTTTCACTCTGGTACCACAGCAGCCCAACACCAGCAGGCACATTTTCACCAGGTTCAAGTGTAGAGTGAGCAGCGACGAAGAACTGGGGCCAACTAGACTAAACTAAACTTGAATTTCTAATATTGGCTGAAGAAAATAATTTTTACAGTCTTGCTCTTATTTCTATTCATCACATGCTATGACGTTTTAGTCCCTGGCCTTATTGCAGAAACGTAGAGATCCTGCAAAGACACAACTTTATAACTTATTTAACAGAACAACACTGCTTACTTTGAACTGGAAATGAAGATTAAAGTATTACCCAAAGTGTATACTGTAAACTGTAACATTACTACATTTAAGAGCTAGTTGAGTTACGTTCTGGTTCCGTTTTGACCTCTTTTATGTAAAGTCTGAATGCATGCACACACAGTTTTACAAAACACATGATAATTATAATGGACAGCTTGGAAAATGATAAGTAAAAATCTGTGCCATCTCATAAATCAGCCTGCCTAATTAGCATAGTGGAACTCTATATATGAATTTTTTGGGACTGACTTCTTAGAAAGAGGTTAACTTGAAAAACAGGATGCAAGTGAACCAATCCCTGAGTCAGCAGTACATCTACATGGGAAGATGGGGGTGGGCACTATAGCTACATTACACAGGAGGCCAATACCTTCTAGTCTTCAATAGTGAATGTATAAAAACAGCCCTACTACAAGGTCACTAGTATAAATACTAAGAATTGGAAGTACAGCACTATTATTATGGGAACATCAACTGGGCAGATGAGACTTTTCTCAAGAGCTATGTGAAGCTAAATACAGGAGAGCAGTAAAGAATGAAAATGTCTGGGGGCTAGACATAAACCAAAAGCTCACTCAAGCCAGTACAGTCATCTTCCTATTCATACTGCTGCAGGCCTAACTGGGAGAGCACGACTGATGACACAGAGCAGTGTGCCATAGACATACACTGAACAGGAAGAGGTTACAGCAGAGCCCAGGCAGTAAGACATGCAGAGAGAAGAGATGCATCGAACAAGCAAACACTGCAGAGAAGGAAGAAGGGATCATTTAGTGCTGGGGCTGGAGAAGGCTACTATTAGCTGGTTAGTGGTCAGCCTTTCATATCACCAGTTTAATTTTGGACCTCAGCATGTATGCTCCTTTTGAGATAAGGTCCACAATTCACCACCGTGTAGTGAAGCTCTCTTTATCCAGATACCCAAGAGCAAATACAAAAATATAAATGTTTACAGTTTTAGCGTAAATGTTGGTTAAACCCAACTCAAGTTTTTCCTGACCTGGCAAATCTGGTGTCATCTCAATGGCGGTTCAAAGATTTTATTGTGGTGTGAAACATAATGCTAGGTTCTGGGCAGTATAATGGAAGCAGTGTGTCTGTGAATGCCTGTAGAGGAAAATTCAGCATTGATTGGGCCCCATGTTGATGAAAGCACAAGCACAGCAGAATGCTGACTGGCAGCTGACCTACTGGAAACCAGGGAGGGAAGGTGGGGTGGTGGGGGGTGAGGTTTATTCACTCACAGCCAGGAACGCAGTCATGCAAAGGACCTTTTCTAAAAGGGTTGAGATGTGTGTGAGTACATGTATATATTGAAAGAGCTTCATGCATTATTATACTGAGCTTTAGCGATGAGAAGCTGGTGTATGCGTTTGTGTATTGCCTCAGGTCCATCACGAGCACTCTGCCTGCTGGTTCTGTTACTCAAACACTAACAGAGCAAGGAGTCATCAATTAATCTGTCTGACTGCCCACCTGCCGGTTTTCTAATATGCACAATTTGCACAGTGTAAAGAAATAAAAACATCTGTTAGTGTGAAAACATGTTATTAAATCAGACAAATATACTGTACGAGTGTGAGATGTCCTACCTTACTCCTTTTGCTGAAAAGCCAAAAGTTTTTGCCTTTGTTCTTCCCTAGAAGGTCCGCGGGACCTTTAGGTGTACTCAAGCTGCTGTCAGAGGAGGTTCGGTTGATGCCCTGACTGAAGTCCTCAAACTCCACATCTCCAGGACGCTCAAAGCCCGACTTGTTCTGCTCTATTACAACCATGGAGTCCTGTTAGATGTGATTATGAATAAGAGCAATCAAGAGTTAGATTCAAACCAGGGTATGGAAATGGGCTGCATAGTAATATCTATTTAGCATTTCTGAGACCAACTCACATTTTTCTCATTAACATTAGTGCCAGCTTTAGTAATTCCTTCAAGGCACTTGCCAATGATAGGCATCACATGCTTCTCTGTGTCTGAGAACAAGATGTAGCCCTGTGCCAACTTCCTTATTCGTCTCTCATCCAGATCCTGCAATTTCTAGTGAACACACGACGTTTGCTCAATCAATGCCGTTATTAGGGTTGAGACAATGCATAATCCATAATCCAATGTGTATGTCTATACCAAGTTCACAATATGATATTTCTATTACAGGACCTCATCTGTGGCAAAATCCAACAACACAGTGTATCTGAACAAGTTTAATTATTTAGGATTCTAAAATATACTAGTCAGTGTTCTGATGAAATGTTCAAAGCCAAAACTTTGGCTTTTGTAAAAATCAACAAAGTGGTTCCCTGCAGATTTTACATTGTGCAATTAAAATTAAAGTGGCTACTTGCAGATTTTACATTGTGCAATTAAAATAAAAACATACTAAATATGATTATTTTAAAATGTTAACACGGTTGTTTAATTTGCTAAATGCCATACTACTAAAATTAAGTTTAACAATAGTGTGACCTATCACAGAACCATATGTTAACAACTCAAATAAACATTGCAGGAATACTGTCATGTTGCAATATGTATTTAACTTACATTGAAAACGAGTGGCATATCATTAAAATAGAACTGGTTCTGCTCCTTGTTATACTTCTGCAGCTGAGCAGCGTAGTCATTCTTGCACTCCTCTGCTACATGTGCTCTCATATGAGCCTGCTGTTTGGCCTACAACCAAACATACATCAAACAGGTTAACCAGCTGCACATCATTCAACTTTTATTGCATGAAATATTCTTACTTGAAATATATTAAATAAATTGATTAGAAATAGTCCCAGCAAGAGTAACTACCCTCAATATTTTATGGATAATGACACACCTGTTAATAGATTGGAGGATGTAGTAGATAAGTTTA